GGTTTTCAAGTTTGCCCTTGATCATTTTAATGTATTATGTCTTAGTTTGTAACCTACATTGTCTCATTGTAGCTAAGGCTTACAGTGTGAACGAGACCAGCCATGCCTTTTAAGCCTCCTTATATAATATCTGTGAACGTGTACATCATCAGGTACACGTCCAGGGATGGCAGCTCATTAAGTGGCAAAGCTGGCTTCTAAATCCAGATCTCCTGACATAGTGGCTCAGAACTCATAGCCCACTCTAAAACTTTCTTAACAGTCTGTTTTGCTCTGAATGATATAGTGATGCCTTTGATCATTTAGAACTTGAATAGTTTTTCTAAAAATCTGATATTGATTTTTTTCTCATAGTTTTGCTTGCTGATTTTTGTTTTTATTTTTACTTTATATAATAATGTATTCAGTGCATGCTCCACATCAGGCATAAAATACCAAGCATTTTATATTTATATATATGACATAATATATAACACATGATTACTTTTATAGATACATGATTTCATTCAGTTCTCAAACCACTGGCCAGCAGGTGGTATAACTACTATTGTAGTCATGAGAAAGCTGAAGTTGAATAATTTGAATAAGAGATTTTTATGACTTGCCGTGTGTCAGTGGATTACAGACATAAGAAGCCCGTGAACACTGCTGTGTCATGTCATCATCGTGGATGGCAGCGAGCTAATAATATTGATAGGTTTCAGGATTAAGGTTGCCTTTTTGCTAAGGAGCAAATGCAGAATGTTAGACTTGTGCTCTGTGGTTATGCGTGTTTAACAGCAGTTATCAGATCAGGCCTTGGATAATTTTGTTTATCCAAAATGCTTTCAAAATTTATAGGTTATCTTACTCCCCGCCAAACAGACACAGACACACACACACACACACACACACGCACGTGGACTCACTGACTGGCCGTCTATAGGAGACAGTGCGCTGTTAGGCGACCCCAGCCATCGTGCTGCCTTCAGCAGCATTTCGTCCCTGTTTGCTTGTTGACGCTTGTGGGTGCCCACATCTGGTGAGAGGACTCAGGACAAGCTGGGAAGACAGCAAAGCATCTTAGACAGATACTAGTCTTTCTTCTTATCTTTTGGGTCCCTTTGGCATTTGAATAACAGTCACTGTGTTCTCTAAAGATTCCTTTGAGGAACCTTAGGGTCCATTTTTTCAAATGATGAGGAATCAGTATGTTGGCCCCCGGACGTTTGATGCCCCTGCCAGTGCCCCCACAGTAGCTGCAGTTGTAGATGACAGTTGCAGTCGTTTAGAAATGGGCAGTCGTGGCCTTTGCACTGGCTGCCATCTGCTTGTTTTGAACATAGCAGTGACTTGCAGGCATCTAAAAGCATCCCATCTCGAGCAGTCCTCCACGGTAGCTGTTCTCAGTGATCGCCGTCCCCCTGCCCCGCAGGAGCCTCCTCCCCAGCCGGGAAGGAGGTGGTGATGGCACAGGGAGAGCGGACTGGGACTCCACATCTGTAATCATATTGTCTGTTTGCCCTAGGAAAGACTGCTGCCTTTTCCATGGAAGGGAAATTTCTAGAACTGGCTGTCCCTTGCTGAGCTCAGTGGAACATCTGTACTGTGGCCACATCTCTTCATTTGCTAGTCTCCCCCGCTGAGAGCTAGAGGTGTCTGCACACACTTGGGCTTCCTGGAGTGATCTGCTTCCTGAGTGAAGATCTCTTGACCCTGATAACATGCAAAGCCCCATGAGAAGGAGCCCAGAAGGGACACATGCTTTCTGTTAACACTGCTCCTGTCTTCATCGTTTTTTACCAGATTGCAAACTTTGTTTTCAAGGAGAGAGTTTAAAAATGGGATTCTGTAAGCAAAATTGGGCCGTTTCATTTTGGAATAGGTTGTCTGTACATGTTCTAATGTTTTGTAGAACACG